TTTTTTGCTTCAAGCCGAGATTGTACAAATGTGTACCTGGAAACAGCAGTACAAGAACAAAAGAAGGAGAAGTCAGCAGCAGTAATAACACAGCAACAGCAGATTCAGCAACACCGCAAACCAGTACAGTAGGAATAGCAGAAAACCCAGGAGACTATAAACGGCTCCAAGTATAGAGAAGAAGTAAAAGACAGGAAAGTTCTGACTATTTCAGATCTTAAGCGAGACAATGAAGCAGTAACTATTCTTTTTCAACTTCAAAACTCTCCAAAATGAATTCTGCCCCTGTATATTCAGTGTATCCAGAATGTATATCGGGTGTATACTTCTCACTCCGCCCCCTCTTTTTTTCTTCTCTCTATCTAGTTTTTCCTCTCTTTTTTTCCACCCTTCTTCCTAAATTTTCTCTTCTATTTATAGCAAAATTTTCGAAATTTTCAGATTTGTTTTTTATTATTTTATTATTTTTTTAATTAAAAGAAATCCCACTTACAAATTGCTTTTATTTTTTTAGAAAAAGAAATCCCACCTTTATTTACTTTTATTTTTAAAATTCCAACTTTAATTACTTTATCTTATTTAAAATCCCACTTTTTATTTTTTTAAAAGAGAATCTCACTTTATTTAACTTTTCTTTAAAAAACAAACCACTATCTTTTCTTTTTCTTTCAAAAATGCTACTTTCAATTACTTTAAATTTTTTAAATTTTCAGATACCTTTATATTTATTTTTTAATTCCAACCTTCTTTTACTTTTAAATTTTTAAAAAATTCCACAAAACTTTTTATTTTTTTAAATTTTCTACATTCTTTTACTTTAAAAAAAAGAAGAGAATTTCACCTATTTTTACTTTTATATTTTTTTTATTCAATACTTCCCTTTTTCTTATTTATATATATTTTTTAAATCATTCCCGAAATTATTATATATTTTTTTTAAAAAAAAAAATAATAAAAATATAATATTTTCGGAATTTTTATATATAAAAAAAAAATAAAAAATAAAACTATTAATAGTGATAATTCACCTTTTATTTTTTATTTTTTTGGTTTTGTTTTGTGTTGGACAAAAATGAAGAAGGGGTGTTGGGTTAATGGAGCGGACCGGGTCGACCCGGTTTGAAGTGGACCGGGTCATGGGGAAAGTTGGGCAATTATTTGGGCCTGTGGTTTGAAATTGAAGAAGTGGCCCAATCCGATTTTTCTTTGTATTTTTGTTCTCTTTTCTTCTTTTATTTTTCTAAAACTAAATTATAAAAGTACTTAAATTATTATTAAGAACTAAATTAAGTTATAAAAGCGCAAATTAACTTCCAATAACAATTAACGCACAATTAAGTAATAATTAAGCATAAAATTGTTCATTTGGACATTAAATGCTAAAAATGCAAAAGATGCCTATTTTTGTAATTTTTAATTTTTGTAAACAAATTTAATTACTAACAATTGTAGAATTAAATCCTACATGCAAAATGCGACATATTTTGTATTTTTTATTAATTTAACAAATAAACATGCATAGACAAACATACAAATAGTTACACAAAATATCACAAAAATTGCACACCAAGAAAAATTATTTTATTTTTGAATATTTTGGGAGTAATTCTCATATAGGGCAAAAATCACGTGCTTACAATGATCACGACCGGTGCCACGACCTCTTCCACGTCTAGCTTGGTGGAAGTTCGTCTCATTCACTTCAGGGAATAGACAAGAACCAGTATGCCGACTTTCATGTTTTTTCATTAATAGCCCATTATGTTGCTCGGCTATAAGAAGATGTGAGATAAATTCATAATACTTTTTAAATCCTTTCTCTCGATATTGCGGCTGTAGGAGCATATTCGAGGCATAAAAAGTGGTGAAAGTTTTCTCCAATATATCATGATCAGTAATATTATCACCACATAATTTCAATTGAAAAATAATTCTGAACATAGCAGAATTATATTCACTTATACATTTAAAATCTTGTAGCCTTAGATGAGTCCAATCATAACGTGCCTGTGGAAGAACGACCATCTTCAGGTGGTCATATCTATCTTTCAAATTATTCCACAGTATGACTGGACCTTTAATAGTGAGATATTCCATTTTTCAGGCCCTCATCAAGGTGATGGCATAAGAATATCATTGCTTTGACACGGTCTTGGTTTGATGCCTGTTTTTTTATCCTTGATGATGTCTACCACCCATCGCATCAAGATGAATTTCAACATCAAACCCCTAAGACATGTAGCTTTTGCCCGATATATTCAGGGCTACAAATTCAAGTTTAGAAAGATTTGATATTACATAGAAAAAGAAAGTTCGTACCTCAGATACTTTCAAAGTATTTGCTCGAGATGGCAGAGTCTCGTGCTGATAACGTGTTATAAAATAAAGACTATAAAGTAAAGACAAGTATAGAGAAAAACTGATATATTATTCAACTTCAAACTGGTGTATATAATGAACTGAAATCTCTTCTATTTATAGAAGAAAGGAAGCTGCTACTGCAAGCTGCTGTGTAAGCTGCTACTACAAGCTGCTGTGCAAGTTGCTATCGCAAGTTGCTGTGTAAGCTGCTACTATACCAGATATGAATAATCTTCTACTAAGAGTATTGTTTATCTATTACAGAGTACTGAAAGGATAAGCTCATTGTACTCGATATGAATAATCTTCTACCCGGGATAATATTTATCCATAACGGAGTATCGAAAGAATAAGCTTATTATACCTAATATGGATAATCTTCTACTGGAGTAATGTTTATCCATAACTGAGTACCGAAGTAATACACTTCTTTAGGAGACTTATTTTCAATAGAGTACTAAATAGATAAACATATTTATGCCGGAGTCCTATATGGATAAGTTTATTCATGAAACTTATGTATAACGGAATACTAAATGAACATCCATAATATAATATATTTATAACATATTTGTGCATTTTCCCGATAATACAAACGGGACGGTGTACTTTGAGTTTTGACTAAACCCTCAAACCCGCTTCTCTACCTTTATAAACCCTCAACCGCACGGTCGCGGACCATATATCAGTCTTGTTCTGGAATCTAGAAAACCCACTTCTCTATCTTTGGAAAATGGGAAGGATATTTGTGGTAGATCTTGAAGGTAGGACATACAAGTGCAAGTTCTGCAAAACCCATCTTGCCCTTGCTGATGACGTTGTTTCCAGGGTATTATTTCTTCCCCCATTTTCCTCACTTGCCCTTGCTCTTCTTGTTTTTCTTAGTTTCTGGTCATATTACTAAGTTTATACAAATTATTATCTCACCTTTCTCAGTTGCTAATGACACTTTTCAAGATTGTTATAGTGTTTTTCATTGGGTTTGGTCTTTTGGGGCTTATTGTTTCGTTAAGGAATTGGTATATGCACTGGAAATTTTCTTAGCATGATTGCTTGCTCGTAGTATTGTACTTTTGGCTTGCTTCGTTTGTGGTTTCTAACGGCTGACTTTTATGGTCAGGGATTTCATTGTCGCAGAGGAAAAGCATACCTATTCAATAAAGCGTGAGTGCCTTGTAATTTTCTTAACAGCAATTTGATGATAACTGGTTCTGTATGAGTTGATTTGCTTATTTCGCACTTGAATTGATTTTGTTATGCATCTATCTCTGAGTGATACATGCGAATAGTTATGTTTTTAAGAGCTTGGGATTTATATTAGCTTTGGTACATCAGCAAATCTTTGTTGCAATTGATCATTTTGAAATGAAGGTGCTCCCCAACAACTCGTTCAACTTTCAAGTCACATTAACACTAGCATTAGCCAAAACATAACCCTGAAATTGATTTAAGGAGCACTGGAGTAATGGATACATATCAGCGGTAGCTGAGGCACAAACTTTTTGGTTCTATCTGTGAGATATTTCATGCCCAGCTATCTTTCTCTTCTCTTCCCTTCTTAGCGAACAGCCAGTCTAGATTTCTTTTTCATGGTTAGAGGAAAAAATAAACTCTCGCAGGTGAGAGAGTGAGACGGGAGAAAACAGAAAGGGCCATAAGAGATTGGAGCTCTTGCTTGAGGAAGAAAGGCTGGGAAGAATATGCTTTGGGTTGAGAAGAAGAATTGGATGATTAGAATGACAAAAATGTCCCCTTAATTCATGTGTTGTGGATGTTATCTTAGGGGCATTTAAGAGAAATAAAAAATGGGTACAATGCTAACTACTACCTTCATGTAGTATAGCAAGACCCATATGTATATAATATAGGCAAAATAGCCTCCGGGCCACTTAAACTTGTACCCATTTGTAAGTTCGGTAGACAAATTTATAATTTTCCCATTTGAACACTCCTACTTGACAGAATGAATATCAATAAACACCTCCAGCTGAGCGTGTTTCTCAATCGATATGACTCAACTGACACATCATATTCTTAATCTATTATTGTTTGACCGTGTAATTTGTAGGTCCCAATTTTTTTACCAATTTATTAAAAAAAATTAAAACTTTTTCCTTTCTCTTCTTCTTCATCATGGCAGCACCATCACTACATGTTTCTTCCACCATGAACACCACCCTCATCCACTCTAAAATCCCCCAAATCAATAACGAACACCATTCTTCTCTACTCTAAAATTCCCAAGTGAATAAAAAAGTAAAAAGAACACAGTCAAAATTAGTAAAATCTAAAAAATCCAGACGAATCAGTAAAAAGAACTCTCTTCCATTATCTTCTCCAAAATTATCTTTGAAAATCCCCATACAAATTAGTAAAAAGAAGAAAAAAAATTCCCAAGAATCTCAAATGGGAGTTTACTGATACATAGATTCAAAATCATCTCTAAAATTTTCAATCTTCAACACCCAATTAATTGATTTTCTCAAAATTGAAATTTTGTTCGTAATTTTTTTCTAACTAGCATTTTCCTCTTTGAATTGTGGTCTTGCCATGTTTGTTAGAAGGTGTTTTTTGGGTTTG